AGCGGGGGGGGGGGGGGGGGGGGGGGGCGAGGGAAGCGGGGGGGGGGGGGGGGGGGGGGGGAGACGTCGCTAAAGGCCACTAAACACCACCTGGACCCGGCCGGCCGGAGCTTTGAACAGGCAACTTCAAAGGCACATCAGCTCACCTGAAATCCTGGGAAAAACTGGGGGTGGGGAGGCGGGGGGGTGGAGTGCGGAGAAGTCCTGGGAATAAATACCTCGGCCCTCAGTTCAGCCAACCCTCTAACATTTACACTGGGCAATAAAATTGAGCCGAGGAGCAACTTTTACAGCCTTTTAACTGGAATTGAGCATCCAGACCAGATGTTTGCAGATGACTGTTAGCCTGTTAGGCCTGGTGGGTGGTGGGTTTGGGGATCAAGCGAGATGCAGTTTTGCGAGAGAAAAGATGTAATGCAGGGATAAAAAATGTTGCAGCCCAAAGATGCGGAGAAGGGAAGAGGGGAAAACTGGCCCTGAGTTAGAATCAGGCGGTGGATCCTCCATAGGGAGAGGCAGACTATCTTTAGAAACAGCACAGAAAGGCTTTTAAGTCCTGGGTTGGTTCTTGGGCTTCAAGGCGCTGAGATGGATGCTCTGGTGAGATGGAACGGGCTCTTCCTGGACCTCCAGAGGAGAAAAAGAGACTTTTCTCAGTGCCCGCAAGATGGGCCAATTAGGCAGTGTTTCTTAACCTTAGCAACTTTAAGAAGGGTGGACTTCAATTCCCAGAATTCCTCAGCCAGCATTCTGGTAGTTGAAGTCCACCCTTCTTAAAGCATCCTGGCTGGGGAATTCTGGGAGTTGAAGTCCACCGATCTTAAAGCATGCTGGCTCGGGAATTCTGGGAGTTGAAGCCCACTGATCTTAAAGCATGCTGGCTGGGGGATTCTGGGAGGTGAAGACCACTCATCTTAAAGCATGCTGGCTCGGGAATTCTGGGAGTTGAAGCCCACTGATCTTAAAGCATGCTGGCTGGGGGATTCTGGGAGGTGAGGTCCGCGGAGCGTAAAGCATGGTGGGTGGGGGATTCT